GGTAACCAAATGAATAGGCAGGACTTTAAAACCTACCCTATCCAGCCTCGGTGTTATCCTAACTTCAAAGGCAAAGGTTCTTTGGAAGTGACTAATGATAGCACTGGACATCCCCTGTCTATCATCAGGGTCCACACCTTGGATTAAGAGACCACACACGTCATTCTGTCTATTACAAGTATTGGCCATAGCATGGAAAAATTTCGTGTTAAGGTCCCCTTCTTTTAGCCATTTAACATGGGAACATTGTTTCCAATACACTTCTTCAAGCCTGCTGAGCTCCTATAACTCCTTAATACAAAAAGATCTCTCTCCAATACCAACTCTTTTGAGAACACCCCCTGTGTTTTCAACCACAGCATTTACCAATTCAATTTTTCTTAGACCATCATCAATCATACCCCTAATATGCACATGATTATTTATTTTCCACTCCAACAACTTGTGTTTAATATTGATCAGTTTCTTGTGAAGCTGAAAATCCATCGAACCCACAACATTGTGTTCTCCCATGTACTTATGACTAAATCGACCACTTCTTTCTCCTACAGCCAACCGATTTTCAATCGGAAAGGTGTAGGACCTTAGAAACGTTTTTAGTACACAACAAAATAGAGGTATGATCAGGAAATAGCCTAGGAAAAGCTTTAACTATGGCTAACGGGAAAACCTCAGACCACTCGCCAGAAATAAAAAATCTATCAAGTTTAGATATATACAAATTCACCACACTCCCATTAGTCTAGGTAAAGGCAGGGCCAGATATAGGCAAATCAATTAAAGCATGGGACTTAATGAAACGGTTAAAAAGACGAATAGCGTGTGTAACAGTACTACTATAGTTACTTTCATCAGGCCATCTAGTAAAGTTAAAACTCGCCCCCAGAAAAATCGAAAATTCAAAGGACTGAATAACTTCTGACATATCATTGACAAAAGCATCTTTCAAAGCATAGACATGAGGACTATAAACATTCATCAGGCCCCATCTAAAAGCAGAAAGAGAACACAAAAAACCAACTAACAAAAAGTTAGATTTGTTCACCACACAAAAAGAATGTAGAACTGTAGGATCCCAAAGAATCCACAGTCCCCCAAAACCACCAACAACCTCAATCCCCACAAAATTCACAGACCCAGAACCACAAACTTCACGGACACCAGGCAGAGTGAGGCTACGAAGTTTAGTTTCTTGTAAGATTAACATAGACGGTCTAAACTTAGTAACAAAAAACCAGACATCTTTTTTTCTGTTTGAGGTCGCCCAAACCTCGTACGTTCCGAGATAATAAATTCATTTAGGAGGCGGGCAGAGGATGAACCTGGACCATCCTTAAACGAGCCAAACTAGGCATCTTTCGAGAGCATAGCTTCCTCAGGCAATCCCCCAGCATTCTTTCATCAACCGAAGATCCAGAGCTGCTCTCCATCACCTGATCATCAGCTATAACAACCCCTCTCGCCGCAGCATTCAAGGGCATACATCCATGAGCCTGCAACTGTGCAAACGATCTGGTACCTTTGACAACCCCTTTTCCTTTACTTTTAGCTTTACGAACATTAGCTCGCGGGGTATTAGGCACCACCTCCTCAACCTGTGCTTTGTAGCCAATCTTCTCCTCTCCTTGCTTCAACTTTTGTTTCGCAATTGCCTCAAGCTTCTTCAGTTTCTTCTTGGCAATAATTTCTTGAAACACTACTCTAATCGGGATATTGAAATCCATACCAGTATCAGCAACCAAATTGCTAATCTTCTGGACCTCAGGGTCAACAAAGGCCCCCATAGCAATATCTTCCTTCTCCA